GAAAGTTCTGTGCTGTGAATTCTCCTCTTAATTAAATCAGGTTGTTGTTTTTTTCAGTTTGCAACCAGGGTTTGAAATTCATATGGGTGCCTCTGGGCAGGTACATTGTGAGCAGAAATCCTAATTTTGTGTAGTTCCTGCCTCAGGCTAGGTCTACAATACAGACTTTTTTCAGGAAAAGCTACACAAATTACGCTCCGCAATTTGCGTAGCTTTTTCTGAGTGCTTTTCCGGAAGAGGCTTTTCTGCCATTTGGCCCGGTCTAGACAGGACCAAATGGCAGAAAAGCCTCCTCTTTCGGAGGAGCCTTCATTCTTTGTAGACCGGGGTATACAGGGCTCTCTGAAAGAGCACTTTTGCTCTTTTGGTATCCCGGAAAACCCCCGCAGTCTAGACATACCCTCAGTGGGGAACACAAATGGCTGGGTACCAGGAACTTCTTCTTTGAGTTAAGAAAGACTTCTGTGCCACCTTCTTTTCCCTTCTCTTCTAGTGTAGCTTTTGATGCTATATTTTACTCTGTTCCTTTGTATTCTATGAAGGTTGGAAAAGGAAATTCATGCGTGATCTTAGTAAATTTCACTTTGTAGCTCATGGGAAACACAATTATTTGTTTAAAGTATGGAGTGGGCATCTAAAGGTGATACAAAAAGTGCAACAGTTTTAAATTATAGAGTATATAGATGGCAAGCTTTTTAGGACAGGGACTGTCTTATTATGTAATAGTGTCCTGATCCTCATGCAGATCCATTAGGCACTGTTTATTTGTAATATTAATACAATATTAATATTAAAAAACTCAGTATGTTGCCTAAGGATACACAAATCAGTCACCTATAGAGACAGGATTAGAACTCCAAAGTTCCTTACTCCATGTCGGATGCTAAGTTGTCACACTACAATGACTGAAGCAAAAAACAGTAGGCAAGTACTTAGGGACAAATCTTCAGTACATAAACCAAACAATTTAAAGGACTTCACTCACACTTAGCATAGGATACTGGGTGGTAGGGTCAGAATTTCCACCTAAGGTCTGCCATATAGTTGGGTTGTGAAGAAGATTACCTCATAGTGGAAGAAGTAGGAGGAGAAAGGACGTCTGAGGCTTGTGCTGTTCTTTATCTCACCCTCAGTCCTACTTCAGTGCTTCTGTACAAAAATGAACGGTATTGATCTCAACATTTCAGAACTGTGAGAATACAGCATTTCCAGTTTATTTTGGGCTTTGCACATTTTCAGTATGTTCTTCAATGTTTTATTGAGACAGCAAATCTTCCAGGATACAAAAATCTGGCAGATGGTTGACATTTACTGTATTTCTATTTTCTCCTTGTGAGTATAACTTTGACTCTTGACAATAGTTGACAGTTACTGTATTTCTTTTTCCCCCTCATTCTGTCTGTAAGTCAGAAGAACTTTTAATATGGAAATTCTCAATGAGCTCATTGTATTACTCAAAGTCATTCATTCACAGGACAACTTCACTGTAGGAGAGAGTTCAGAAAAATCTATTCTTACCCACAGAAAGAAACCTAGAGCCTGCTCTCCATTCTGTTTTCTGCACCGGTTCTATGAGCGGGAGGAGCTGTTTTTAGGCTGTTCAGTCAGAATGTAGGCATTATTAAAACCAATTTGCAGTATAGATATGGCTTCATCTGGAAGCAGAGGGTAAAACCTAAGATTGTTTGAAATTTTTATTAAAAACAAAAATTACAGTAGTTTCACAAGGTTTATTTTAAAAAAAATCAGACATAGATTTTGTCTAAAACTAACTTGCCAGGGTAGACTATTGAGGATTTTGACTCAACTGGAGTATTGTGTCCAGTTCTGGGCACCACATTTCAGGAAAGATGTGGAGAAATTGGAGAAAAATGATTACAAGTCTAGAAAACATGACCTATGAGGGAAGACTGAAAGAACAGGGTTTGTTTAGTTTGGAAAAGAAAAGTTTGAGAAGGGACATGATAGCTGCTTTCAAGTACCTGAATGTTTTTTTAAAGGAGGAGGGAGAAAAATTATTCTCCTTAACATATGATGATAGGACAAGAAGCAATAGGCTTAAACTACAGCAAGGAAGACTTAGGTAGGACTAGGGATGTTAAATTGTGGATAATCAGCTAATTGAGTAGTCAATTGACTAGTCGGTTAGTCTATAAAGGCAGGGTCTGCAGTTTAAATGTAAAAAGGCAGAGGCACAGTGTGTGACTTGGCGCGAGCCAGGACTCAAGCAGTCCCAGCTCATGCCGGGTCCAGATCTCTGCGGCTCTGCCTTTTAAATGTAGTCAGAGCCACTTGGCTCTTAGTACTTTTAAAAGGTAGTGCCGCTGCACCCCTGCCCCTCACTGAGACAGTGCTGTGGGGAACTGCGCCCCTGCCCCTCCCAGCTCCTGCTTCCCCACCCCTCCCAGCTCCTGCTTCCCCACCCACCCACTTGCTGCCTCTGATAAAGAGGCAGCAGGGAGGGGGGAATGTGAGTAGTTGACTAGACTACCCACTAAGCCTAGGATTATCGAGTAGTTGACTGTTGGACTACTCTTTTACATCCCTAGGTAGGACATTAGAAAAAACTTCCTGTCAGGGTGGATACGCACTAGAATAATTTGTCTAGCAAGGTTGTGGAATCTCCATCATTGGAAATATTTAAAAGCCGATCAGAGGTGATCAGACATCTGTCAGAGGTGATCTAGATGGTAATCTAGTAGTTTCACAAGGTTTATTTTTAAAAAATTCAGACACAGATTTTTGTCTAAAACTAATTTGCCAGGGTAGACTTTTGAGGATTTCCCCCTAACATACTAGAATGGCTGAGGTGGCAATGAGCTGTCAGTGGTACCTTCACCAGTCACCCCAACTAGTTGTAGGGGGACAAGGCTAGGAAAAAAGTGCAATGCCTATGGGTCCCTTATGTTAATGATTCTAAACTTCTGGAACTGCCTCTTGGGATTAAATTGATCAACCGTCAGGCTGCTCTAATTTATGCCAGAGACCAAGACGGCTGCAGGATCAGGAAGTGTGAAAGTCATTTCTGTATCCTCCCTCCTGAGTTGTACTGAGCACTTTTTAGTCTTAGCTCAGGTTCTGGGCTTAGCCTGAGGTAAATGAAATGTGTTTTTACATATAACTACACATTTTAACAGAGAGCTGCAGAGCAATAACACCATGTCTACCATATTTCTTGCTGCTACGAGGCTAATGTCATAAGAAGTGTTTCATACATTTCTTTTGTATGTTAAGTGTCTTTCACTTTAAGTGGAAGGAAACCAGGGCTTTGCAGGAATCCTTGATAATACAAAGAGCTACAGGCAGTCCCCGGGTTACGTACAAGATAGGGACTGTAGGTTTGTTCTTAAGTTGAATTTGTATGTAAGTCGGAACTGGTACATATTGTAGGGGAAACTCTAGCCAAACATTTCTCCAGAGCTCAGTTTTATTCTCCCACACCTCACTTCCCTCAGGCTTTATTCTCAAGCTGAGGTGTCTGCTGAGAAAAGCCGCTCCACCTCTCCCTGGTCTGCTGGGCGGGGGGAGGGGGACGCGCTAGCTTCGCATCTCCCTAGTCTGCTGGGGGGAAGTAGCTAGTGCGGGGGTGCCTCACCCCGGTTGTAAGTAGGGATCCGATGTAAGTCGGATCCATGTAACCCGGG